CTAACAAATTTATTAGAGCATAAGCTTTCGTGGGCTACAGCCCACTTCTTCGGATGCATCCGAAGAGAACAGGATGTATCCGAAGAAGTGGGCTGTAGCCCACGAAAGCTTATGCTCTAATAAATTTGTTAGTCTCTAAGGTGCCACAAGTACTCCTGTTCTTTTTGCGGATACAGACTAACACGGCTGCTACTTTGAAACCTTTCTAAAATTGTTGTAAATGTGTAGCTTTTTGTATTTATAAACTTAACCCATCTGTTGCTGAGATTTTAAAATAAAGAACACCCCACTGACGACAGCTCTTTTTTACTGAACCCGTTTATTTTATTGCCAGTTCCTCTTTCTGGCTAGAAATATAATAACCAAAGCTATACTGACATCACTGATTTTGAAAAAAGGTGCTGGAACAGTGAATGAAAAAAAAAAGTTAAATGTATCCGTGGGAGTTGACAATGGTCTGTAAGATTAAAAAGACAATTCTAAGAAAGCTAACATGTATGCATGTACCATGTAAGCAGAAAGGAATGTGGCAAAGGTTTTGTAATCATTAATGTCCATTTATTTTTTCCATATGCCGTACTTTTAATCTAATTGCTAAATCCACTTCTTCCGTTTATTTAACATCTCTATCCATGTCAAAACTGGCTTGTTATAAGATTTCAATTGTGAAGGCTTTAAATTAATGAGTTGGTGTAAATCCAAAGGGAATCTTTGTGATTATAGTGTGCTTTAAGCGTTCAGTACTAGGATTCCTTCTGTTAGTCTTAACTATTGTATAACCATTTGTTTGCAAAGCAATCTGTCCATGAAGTCCAGCACGATTCCCTGGAAGCTGCCCAGTATAAACTAATCAGAGAGCCCCCCCTGGCGTCTGAAAGTGTCCTCGGATATTAAATTTATATCAATCACAGGAAGTCTTGGCAATCAAACTAGTCACTTTTTCCCTTCACATCTGGACATAAATTATTTTTTGCTGCAAAGGTCACAGGAATCATGGGTAGGGCATGAAATGAGGGCCATAGAAAACATGGGAAAGGAAGAATAAAACTATATTTCCACCTTTTTAGAAATAGCTATTTTTAAAAGACCTGGAACAAAGCCAAACTATACAACTTTTTTAAGTTTACATTTGTTTCTGAATTAACTGTGGCTTAAAGATATTTTGTTTTGGAACGTTTTGTGCCATTAGATCTCATCTTGGCATTTGAGAGCTTTCTACAATTTGCTGAGAACAATAACTTTACTGCTGGATGGTTTTAGAAATGGAGCATGTCTTCCTATTTTAGTGGGGTTTAACTGCATTCCCCCCTCCCATACTCCATTGCTTACTTTCTCCCCAGTACTCTTAGCCCTGTACTTTGAGAAACTATTTAGTTGATGCTGGTATTTTTACTGTAAGTTTCTTTTTTATGTGATTTTTTTTTTCAATCTCAAACTTTACTTGAAATATAGGAAACTCCTTTTTATATTCCCCCTCCCCATCCATCCCTTCAAACAAGAGCTTGGGGAGGTTTTATAAAAACAAACAGAACCTTTCCTTTTTGACCCACAAGTTTTCCTTACATAGGACAAGAAAACTAGTGTGCTGAAAGCTGCAAAGCTTCTGAAGCCTGTAGTTAAATAAATAAATGAAAATGTTCCATATGCATGAGAATTGAAAATGGTACTAGCTTACATCTGGATGTCTACAGCAAACAAAACAGCAGAAACAGAAGTTTTTTTTAGGGTTTTTTAAATAGTTTTTAACGGTGACTTTATACAACCCTGATTGCTATTGTTCATACCTATTGCTGAGTTTGGACATGCTTTCCTATACAGATCATCGTCTATTGGCTTGCTGATTACTTATTCAGCCATGTAGGTTATGCTTTCTTTAGACAGTCAAATAAAATACTTTTTCAGAATCTGATTGCAAGGATTCTAATGCTGAGAATCCCTGATTAAGTCTAGGAGTTCTACCTCGGGTTTTATTACCCTCTGTGTCCTTTTCTGGGTCTTAAAAGAACTTTTTGTTTCTCCTTTCTCTTTTGCTTTACACGCCCAGTTCCATCATCCTTCTGCATGGAGGGTTGGATGAGTGTCACTTTAAAAACCTATTCATGCTTCTCCCTAAACACCCAAACCGGTGACTGTAAAGCCATGTTTTTGCTGCCCTTCCAAATTCAGAGAACACAGGAAGGTGATAAATATTGAACCCAGCCTCCACCGTAGCATTACTACTAGGCCACTGGACCAGTTCCGCATTTCATTCCAGTTGGTTTACAAGACATTCTGTGGACTCCAAGTTGAACACAATCATGTTGCAGCAATTTCTTTCCGATTATGAAACCAGTCGTATAATTATCTACAGTATTTAACAGTTTCTACTAAACTTCTTAGTATAAAGGGTATAAACATAACCATTGCAAATCTCTTTTAAATACACTAGAGAGTGTGAGAAAAGTATACAAGTAGGCAGAGTATAGGTAATGGTGTATCTTTTAGTTGTGCAATATTTTGCTGATGTAAATATGCATATGCACAATTATTCCATTTTCCCAGTGGCACAATATCTGAAAAAATACATCTTAAAGTATTGCAATTGGAGCTCTTTTCACGTGAATACAGTTGTTAAGGAATAAATGCACTGAGCCCCTCTTTTGTTAAGGTTAAGGCAGATCATCTTGCTTCCAGAGTATATTAGGACTTTTTTTTTTTTTTGGTAAGAAAGCATTAAAAATCAGGCTTGTAATTAAACGTTAACATTTTCTGTAACAGCTATTCATTAAGAAGGCAGATTCTTTGACTCTTTTAGAGATGATACTGAAACATCTTATTTCCTCTTTCCATATTGCATTTTTGCAAGAACTCCCGCAGAGGGTCCTTGAACTCTTGATATTGTTTTCATTCCTTTAATCGGCATAGAGGGAGCCCTGTAGCTTCTCTCCCTTTCTCCTTCCCATTTTCCCTTAATTAAAACTGTTCAAGCTAAAAAACATACTTCCCTGTGAATTTCTCATCTCCCTTCTTTCCAACTTCTCCTATCTGTGTAATTTTGCTAGCACCTGCTGGGATACTGACATTGTTTGGATTTCATTATAATGCACATGGTTTGAGAAAATACACATCCACTTCTGTTCATTGAGTTATAGAAGTGCTGGCAAATAATTGTGCAACATGTAAGCCGACAAGCAAGCCAGCTCTAGCTTGGGAAACTACCAATTTAGACTCTAGTGGTTGTTTCAGTTTTAAGTTGACCAAAAGCCATTTTTACTGGACTGATTCCAACTCTCATGTAATCCCTAGTCTCTCATCTGTATTCTTGAAGACTAATGGAATAGTAAAAACCTTCTTAAAGATAACTTAAATGTGTTGTATAATGTCCTCAGGGTAGCTTCTGCACTAAAGATGTTTTCTTTCCCACCCTGTAGAGGTATCTCATTAAGGTACCCACTAGTGTCATTATTAAGTTTTCATGTGTTTCTCAGTTTGATGCTAATCTTCATGTGTGTGTTAATTTTTTTCCTTTGCAGCACCAACGTGGTTATGAATTATTCAGACATTGAGTCTAAGGTTCGAGAAGCAACCAATGATGATCCATGGGGACCTTCAGGGCAGCTCATGGGAGAGATTGCCAAGTAAGTGATAATTTGACTCAGCGTTGAAGAAAAAGATGCTTCTTTATACAGAAATATAAAATTTGCTGCCAGACCAACAGGGATGCCAGGTTGATATAGAGGAGCTGACAAATAATTAAAAATTAAATTTTAAGATTATATGCTGGGGAAAAAATCATCAGAATCACTGAATCAAAAACCTGTCACAGTATACTTGCAGTGTATTTATTTTATTTTATTTTATTTTATTTTTTAATTCTTGGTCTTACAATATGTATCATTTTGTGGGTTTTTTGGAATAAAAAAGATCCTATTTGGGCCCGTTGCTTCAATACTTTTTAAAGGTTTTAAGCAGAGTAAGATTAGCCAAATGTTTGCTCATGAACATATGTATCACTTTATCTTTCAGAGAAGGGCTTGGATAGTGTGTGATGAGCTAGTTATGAAGGGCACCACCATAGTCATGTTGTAGACATGAAACCATTGCTTTGAAGAGAATAGATTCCTCTCCCTCCCCCCCCAGATTGATAGATACTCAGCTTTGTTTGAAATGGTGGTGTGTGAAATACATCTGTATAAATAAGAAATTTTGGTAACTCTTCACTTGGAGTTTGATGGAATTACAATAGTTTTAGACCAAGTCTGCCATCTACTGTCAACATTAAATTGTAGCAAACTATTATGGAAAATTGTTATGAAAATAATTGCTTTGCTCCTTTTGTTTAATTCTCTTAGAGCTACATTTATGTATGAGCAGTTTCCAGAACTTATGAACATGCTGTGGACTCGAATGTTGAAAGATAATAAAAAGAACTGGAGGAGAGTTTATAAGGTGTGTGCATATAAAAGACATTTTTAGGATGTGATTACTCTTACTCTGTGTACTGCAGAACAAACACTAAGGTATTAATTTTAGTTTCATATCTTGATGCACTGTTGTGCATGTACGTATTCAACTGTTACATTTTTGTATTATCAAGAAACACTAGTTAAAATAAACTTTAGATTTCTCCTATCAGATGTTACTGTTAACTCTGTTATAAAAGTCTAATTTCTCTTTTGTTGTTCTGCAGTATTGAGCTTTCTAAAAACAAGTGTTTTGTGTAAAATGCTTTTTAATTAACATAGCAATCTTATTTTACTGTTGCACAAGTGTCAAACAGAATAACATCTACATTTTGTACTTTAAAAAAATCGTTTGCATGTACGCCTGTCGATAAACAATTCTTTTTCAAATTATTTTCTAATTCTTTTTAAGCATTCTAAAGGATATTGTTTCTAACTAGAAAAATTAAAATTGTTTCCAAGTTAAACCACTTAAAACTTAATTTCCATTAGCATTCTGCCTCAAAAGAATCCAAATTTTCCCACTCATTTTGAAGATTGTATTTCATTTGCCTTTTTGTCTTACTAGTGGTAGAGAAAGCACTGAACACCAGTTGAAGTTTTCTTGGCTTTGAATAATTTGTGTAGCGCAGATCAACTTTTTCCTTAATATTGTTATGCTGTACTTCCAATGTAACAACATATGCGGGATTATATTGGGTGTTTTTGAGGGTGGAGTGGGATTTTTTAAAATTTAAGGTTTAGATCCTACTCTGTCTTGTTTGAGGCTCAGTTTATAACAAGACAAAAATAATTCTAAGGCATACTCTGTTTTCTTGGGGTGCCCAATGCTTTGTACTCATAGTAATTGTTTTCCCTGAAGTATAATGTAAATTAATATTTAATGCTATCATACATACTACTTAATGTTCTAAAGACTCGTTGGAATTATCTACCAGGTTAGAATATATTGCATTTTGATTACGTATTTTAGCTGGTAGACTCTGCTTCACGTATGACTTTTTTTTAAGATGGAACTTATTGAAGTTCAAGGAAGTTCACAATTTTAAAAAATACTTTTTCAACTTTTAAAAATTTTGTCTTGAAGTTTTCTTTAAGCTTACTCCAGAATACTGTTTTATACATGAACACATTCCTGTAGAGAGCAACATAAATAAGTCACCATAAAAATTGCTTTTAAATGAAAAACATTGGGGGAATTGAAGGGGTTGAGGGGAGACAGGAAAACTGTTTTTTGTTTTACAGGGTTAGGTTTGCTTTTTAAATTTCCATAACCATCTTTTTCTGATGAAAAGTTATTTCCTTCAAGAATTAGTGATGATCTAATATTAACAATCTACTTTGGTTTTTACTGAACAAAAGCAATCTAAATTTGCTTGTGATACTTATAAACAAAAAAGGGGAAGAAAAAAGAGAACCCGATAAAAAGCAAATCAGTGTAATAGTTACTTATTTAAAAGGGGAACAAATCTTGTCATTGACTAACTTTTGGATTTTAGGGTTTAGTTTTTTATTACACTTAAAACAAATTCTGATAGAGCTTTTGTTCATGCAATCATTTAATGTGCTTTGTATTTTTATAGTCTTTGCTGCTCCTAGCTTACCTCATAAGGAATGGATCAGAGCGTGTTGTTACGAGTGCCAGAGAACACATTTATGATTTGCGCTCCCTGGAAAATTACCACTTTGTAGGTGAGCAATAGAAAAATCTTATAAGCAAATTAAAACAGTAGTTGGAGTTGTCAGTCACCTGAACCAGCTTAGAAGCCTCCCTGCTCTAATTAGAATGTGACTGTTGCCGGTTGTGTGAAGAGTGCAGAATCCAAGACGTGGGACCCTAGAGTATTAATTAGTGAAGACAAGAACTTGCAGAAAAGACTGGCTAATAACAACAGAACCAACACAACATGAGTGTTCGGGTTTATATTAAAATATGCACTAGAGACTGGTCCCCTGTGGTGTCCGTAAAGGAATAGCTTTAATCATATGGGAAGAAAAGGTTAGAGCTCCAAAACACACACATCTGTTTGAAGCTGGGTTTTTTTTTCCTCCCACCAAATAATATTTACAGTGCAAAGGCAGCAAGGCCAATGTGTGTTTTGAATGTGAAAGAGGCTGGTGAGAAAAGCAAATTTTAGTTTTTAGCTGAAAGCACTTTAAAAATTCAGTTTTGCAGTGAGACAGAATTCTAGCAATTAGTGTTTCAAAAACTGCACTAAAAAAGCTAAAAACTGGTGCTGCTTCTTAAAATGGGTTAAAATCGGAATAAAATATGAGTGAAGAAAATAGTTTAAATCTGAGCCTGGTTTTTTTTTTTACTCCAAAACTTACTACTGTTGATCTGTTAAAGATTAATGTTAGTCTTTTCTAAATACAAATTGTACTTAATGAAAATACATGATTTAGTTGATGAAATTTCAATTGAAATAAAATATTGTTTGACCTCCTATTTTAGACAGGTTCAGTGCACTTTAGGATTTTTCTCATAATTGTTCATTTTGTAACTTTTTTTTAATTTGTTAGGTTGTCTAATGCTCAGTACTAACTGCTACTTCTTTTTTTCCCCCTTTGCCGATATATAGATGAGAATGGCAAAGACCAAGGTATAAACATACGCCAAAAGGTGAAAGAAATGGTAGAGTTTGCCCAGGATGATGATCGACTTCGTGAAGAGAGGAAAAAGGCAAAGAAGAACAAAGACAAATACATTGGGGTTTCTTCTGACAGTGTCGGAGGGTTCAGATATGGTGAGTACAGTGCTGTGTTGGTCAAGTAGATGAGGAGAGCAATTTGCACCCAGCGACTTAGCTTGGTTTCATGGAGCAAGGAGCAAATAAATACTGAGCAAATCCTTCCTGGAAATTTGTCCCTTTGTAAAGGACTCTTTAAAATATGCCTGGCACTTTTATTACTCTTATCGAGCTAATAACTTTTCAAATCCTTCTGGTACATCTGAATAGAAATGAAATATTTTCAAATGTATTGGTGGCAGTTTCTCTCAGTCCCTTGGTGGGGTGGGGGGTACGGGTGTCACTTAAATGAACTAAATGGAGATTTTATTATATGGCTGGTGGTGATCCACTGATGCTTCCAAAACTGAACTGATCTATCTGAAAATTGGCATGTAGGGTCCTTTGCCACAATACAATTCTAATGGAAAGTTTGAAGCAAATCAAACCGCATTTTCAGGGCTTCCAGAAGAATTCTGGTTTTGTTTTTCCTTTTTTTTTTTAAGATCGCTAATACTTTCTCACGTCTTCATAGCTGAAAATGGCTTGACCTAGACATCCTACCCTTGTCTCAGGGAGCTGACCTCACTGAGTGCCTTTGATTTGTTTTGGTGATGGTGGTGAGTGTGTGGTGTTAAAGTAAAACAATGTGTACCTTAGGATATACAAGCAGATCTTAAACTCCCATGTAGCATTATATGGACACTTGGAATATAAGCCACCATATGTATGTATTTTGATATTCACATCAGGTCTGTGTGTTCTTGTTAATGTGCGTGTGGTGCTGCTTGCTGATCTACAATCTCTAATGGAATTCGGGGGTCTGCATCTGGTCTATGTGATTTTTATGGCATGCGTTGAATCTGCAGCTCCCATGTGCACCTTAAGGAGCATGCTTCCCAGTGCCAGTACCACCCCCACTTTGCCTTGACACACTAGGAAACTTGCAGCTGAATATGTACTGTGCTGCTTTATTGCACCAACCAGGCCTTGCAAAACTGAAGGCAGGTCACCTGTTCAGTGTTTCAGTGGGTGCTTGGGAAACTTAAAGGAACCTTGTTGAACAACAGCTGGTATTGAAGCTTAAGGAACTATGGATTTAAGGGGGGGAAACTAAGCAGTAGCTTTGTCTTAAAAATCAGTTTAAAGGGATATTCTAAGGTTAAAATGCAAAAACGTGTAAGTCTGTAAATTGACCATTCATAACTCTACATCTCTCCTTGACAATAGGCACTCCAAGAGCCTAATATGTCCAGGGAAGTTGCCCTTCATCTGCAGGAGTGGTTGCCTAAAAGCTAGCTTGACTTAGGCATGGAATCTCACATCAGGTCTTTTTTTGCCATGCCTTGAAGCTTGCCCACCTCTGTCTGCTTTGCTTAGATGATCACTCATGAGCAATGTAAGGCACTTCTTTATGCACCACTCCCTCCTTGGCCTCCTCTATGCTCCCAGTCCGGCCACAGTGAGGAACAAAGGTCTGAGTGTGCATCTAAATGTGCATCTCTTTTGTGTAGGCCAATATGTTGCATATAAACCATCAGTCTCTCCATATCCTCCCTGGTATTACTAGAGATCAGGATATTTTCCCCTAAGAGGAAAGTCCAACCCTCATGTTCACAACTTCTGAGTGCTCCTGTGCAGTGGAACCAGTGTGGCTTTGTGCGATATTGGACTGTATGTGAAGGAGCTGTGCCAGGAGTATGCATCCTCTCTGTGTGACCTGGAGATTTGCTCTGCACAAGCCACTCTGTGGCACTGGGGACCCTTCCATCACAGTGAGGAGGAAGGGTACATGTAAGTGCCAGTTGGCTGAACCGTCTCCATGGTATAGGGAAGGATTTCCTCTCCTCCCCCCCCCCCAAAAAAAAATAGGGTAGACAAGCAGTTCCACCATGCTATAGGATAAGTGCCTCCTTGCAATATATTCCTTTGGGTTTATGCTACCTGCTGGGGGCTCTGGTAATCCTCTTGTCTTGTAGAATGCTCACGGGCCACTGCCTCTGTACCTTCTTCATTGTTGTCTCCTATCTTTCTGTCTGGGTTGGCTCTTGTTTCTCTCTGTCCAAAGAGAACTTACCCACCCCGTGTTGATCAGTGGAAAACTTCATTCCTTCTCCATATTCTCTTCAGCTCTTTTCACCACACTTCCAAATCTGAACCCCTGCCATCTCATTAAAATGTATTTGTTTTTATACTAAAGGATCTCTAATTAGCATCACTTCATTTATCACTGTATTGAAGTGTTTGCAAACATTTTCATCATCTTAAAATGCCAGCACTAAAAAACCCCTTCAGGCTGAAATTCTACATATAAGGTCAGGTCTTTCAGCTAAGAAGGAATAGTCTCTTATACAGAAAATTGATTTTTTGCAGGAGGATCCAATAGGAATTTTGGGGGGAAATAGTTTTAAGAGTCTTTTTTTTTTTTAAGTATCCAAAAACATATTAGTTTGGGTTATTTTATGAGTTTAAAAAAATGTGAACAGGCTGTATTTTATCATCAAAATAGCCCACAGTTTTTAACAATGCTGTGTCAGGCTAATGTGTAACAAAGTTCTGGAATATGTGGATAAACTTTACATTGGAAAACTTTTTTTTAACACCCCCACCCAACCTGATATTTCTTTTTGTTGTCTCAATCTACATTTCGGTACATCAGGCCAGGTTTTTCTGCTGCTTGTCAGCATTCTAAATGTTTATAACATACAAGGAAACACAATGTACGCTAAAATACAGAAACAAAAAAGTGCACATTCAGTGCACATTAATGTGCTCCCTAGCACTTTCTCTGGGTAGGAATAAATGGTAAATTCTCAGAATGGAGAGGGGTAACTAGTGGTGTTCCCCAAGGATCAGTCCTAGGACCAATCCTATTCAACTTATTCATAAATGATCTCGAGAAAGGGTTAAAAAGTGAGGTGACAAAGTTTGCAGATGATACTAAACTGCTCAAGATAGTTAAGACCAAAGCAGACTGTGAAGAACTTCAAAAAGATCTCACAAAACTAAGTGATTGGGCAACAAAATGGGAAATGAAATTTCTTGTGGATAAATGTAAAGTAATGCACATTGGAAAAAATAACCCCAACTATACATACAATATGATGGGGGGCTAATTTAGCTACAACGAATCAGAAAAAAGATCTGGATGTCATCGTGGATAGTTCTACGAAGACGTCCATGCAGTGTGCAGAGGCAGTCAAAAAAGCAAACAGGATGTTAGGAATC